TTTTTACAGAACAGTACATCAAGATGCAGCTTGATTAAAAGACATATATCAGATCCATTTAGAAATTAAGAAATGAGTTGAAGAAAGCTTGTTCTTAAAGGTAAATCTGAAACATGAGAATAGAATGCATTGAAGAAGCACAAATTATTTATCAATATTGTACTGAGCATACGGGATAATATAAACTCTACGACAACAATTTGGAAAATTAAAGTGGAGATTAAGTTTAATAAAACTATTTTCACCCCAGTAAAACATTGCATGTAGATCGTCACATAGTATAAACAGCAACAAGAAGTTCCATTAAAATGATTTAATGACATTGTAAAGTTGAGAATGATTGTAAAGTTAATTTCAAAGTAAAAAAAAACCTTTAATGTTGGCAACAACTTGAAACACTGTAATTTCCAGAAGTAAACTCAGCAGTTTGTAACAAAATATAAACAGTACCAAGAAACAGTATTAAAATGAGTGTTTCACGTTTCACGTTTTTGGCGAGACATATTGCAAAGACACAGTTCCTTGGTGGTCCGTGTCCATAGCGTCTTCCCGTTCATCAAACATGTAGTAGGACTATGTTTGGACAAATTATGAACAATTAATGTCAAAACATAAATCAGTGTCGCTTGAGCTTGGGAGTGGATGTCGCTACTTGGCGCGATTTTTTTCCAGTAACTTTGACAGCTTTTTGCCGTCTAATGTCATGACGACCATTTGGATGAAATTTATGGGCGTCTTCTCCTTTCCAGGTCGGTGCATTCGTAGCAAATCGTCTCAGTCCGTTTTGCTTGAGAAGTTCAAGGCATCTCCACGTCTCGCCTCTATTGACGCTTAAATCATCCGAGGTCAGAAAGTTGAGCAAATCTAGGCCACGGCCATAGACGATCCCATCCGTATGGGGAAAACTGTAATCGGACCAAATGCGAATATACTTCCGCTGAATGCTGCCTCATTTGCTCATCGACAAAACAAATCGATAAAGCAGTCGATGATATATCCAATATCAGAAATCTTTAAAGAAATCAAGAAATAGACAATCAGTAATAGTCGACTTCTAAAGGCCTATTAAAATTCCGTTTGAAGTGTGATAAACAAATCTTAGACAAAGCAGAAAAGATTCACACTATTTAATTTAACTCAAAGATACACTTTTTTGCGCCCGCAGTCATTACGCGTATTAAGAACATCTCGCCATTAAGTATTTATCACCGGAGCTACTCTGATGGAGATCGCACTGAAAACCATAGGCTTTATAAATCAAGGTCTTTTCGGCCAAAATGACCAAAATATGACGCACGAAACTACCATTTGAGCTTGAGATTAAGCTTGTTTACGCATTTATGTCAAAAAGAAACCAATATAACGAATGTCTTGGATGTATCTTGAGCCGGAACTAGCTTCGTAAATCTGCTTTTCGCCATAAAAAAATGCATCAGTTCGAGAGACTGATGTCTGCCGACCGTGTTTGGCGGAAAAGGGACCGATTCGTGCAGTGGTTTTACAGGGAGCCATTGACCCTAATGGACTAGTTTGAATTCAGATTTCTAGACTCGGAGTTCAAAAATGGACTTTCAAAACAATCGTTTGGGAGGTCAGTAATGCAGTTAATACAAAAACACCATTAGGTCTACTTTGCACTTTTGGTAAGTACATGGAGAGGAAACAGCTAAGTCTGCTTTTAGTTCTTAACGGCGATCTTAGGGATTTATTACTGCGAATCCAATTACAGATTGCTCTCTCAGGTACCTTGTTTCTTACTGTAAACTTCGTTGCGGGACGACGATTATGTTTCGTAGGCTAAATAGCCAGAATTCTGGGATATTTGTGTTTTGTGGGGGTCGCTTTTAACTTTGCTTTTCTGCCAACCAATTGTTAGTAGTTCACTGTCACACAGAAATGATGTTTGTGTATTGATATTCCATTGAATATAATGATTTATTTGTTGCACCTTGGCTTTGTTCCTTTAAAAATGTATTTAGTGATTAGTTTTGTTTTACTGTCCACTCCTTTTGAACGAGACTACTCATTGTCGTCGGTACACCCTCCCCAAGGCAAGCACAAACCTCCACAAAGGCAAAACCTCTCTTAAATCCGTATACCCTGACAAGTCATTAACCCATATACCTTTGCGGTTCGGTGCCGAGTCTTAAACCCACCCATGAGCTTTCCAGAAAAAGAAGGCACATACATTATGAAAGATAAAAAGACGCAGTCGCTGTCCATGGCTCCAGAGATATATGTACCAAAAACAGATAAAGCCATTGGCTGCCTTATGCATAATTGTACCGATCTTTTTTTCCTCGTTCGTTTCGCCCGACATCAACAACTTCGATATAATCCGTGCCTCGGTCAAATCGTCACGCACGGTACGATTCAGCAAGGAGAACTAGGTTGAGTTCTATTTCTTTTTTGGATCGACTGTGAGCATGCATAATTGTCTTGGGAGCTGTATCATCCCTTGTGTGCCAGATTTCAGTTTTGTGTTTTGAGATTGATACGCATGATATTTTGTATCAGGTGATTTACTCTCATAAAGATTTGCTTTTTTTTGGTCAGTCTCCCATCGGTCTTTCTTGTCCTTACCCTGACAGTGCTTTTCATTTTAAATAATCCCGGCGTCGTTGATTGCATAAACTGCTCTCTTAATGGTAATAACTTGAATAGAATTCATTCGTGAGTCGGCCACATTAAATTGTAAGCGAGGTCAACTCCTCATTTCGGGAACTTGCCAGTAGATATGAAAGCAATGAAATAAAATTAATTACAAATAAATACCAGTCTGCTCTGATGAATAATTACAAATTTGTGATTAGGCCTAAACATACCCTAATGTTTTAAGCCACAATTCGAAAGAAAAATTTGAAAGTGAGTCTTGGAACGCACTCCAATCATAAAATAGTCTGGCACCTTCCATTCAACAGTTACCATTTCTAAAATAGCTTCAGGGAACACGATCGACATTGGCTTCCTTGTGAACAAAGTCTACATAGAGGGATAACAAGTGACGATTTGTAAGCGATGCAACTCAAAGACGCGCTAATGGTATAGGAACATTATGTTGGTGTCTTTTTTTTTAATTTTTATTGTTTATAAAACCAGATTCGCCATTTCCATGTCTGAGATTTGGATATTCACACTAAAAAAAAATCTTTCAATCTACTCAATAAAATTAAGGCAACATTGTTACCTTAATTCGATTACGTCATTTCAACTTTTAAGTTATCGCCACTTCAGTTTTTAAGTAAGTATTTATTAAATTCAATCATTTAGAATCTACTTAATACGTTTAAGGCAACCCACTTGCCTTAATTCAAATAAGTAAATTCAGCTTATTATAATTTAAGTAATTGCAGCTCACATACAAATGGGATCTAGTAATGAATAGAATGATGGAATTATCAGCTACGTCGTTAGATTAACCAAATTGTAGTGTTGCTACATACTTCAGGGTATCCTCACTTATCACAACACAATCTTGGTAAACATTATAACGAAGTTCCAAGTTGAATTTTCATATTCAATACCGACAGCACTGGTGAAAGAACGTGTGCACTGTTTGCATTTACTCACTGTTCTAAAGACAAGACTCCGCGCGCATTCACTGAAGTGCCTGATACGATGGCCGCGCTATGCCATTTAATATAGGCTCCATAACACTCAGAACTCATCTTACTACTCCTGCTGGTTGGTTGGACGTAAATACAGCCCCCTCCCGAAAAACTACATTATTATGTTCGCACGAAAAGCAATTTCATGTCAAATACATACAACCATAATATTAAAAATTTTTTTTATTGAAAATTGAATTTATCATTGAAGATCTTAAAGACTTTAAGTTATACCGACTCTTTAAGATTTACGTGTTTATTACTCAAACTTGCTGATCAATCTTACGTATAATTAAGGACTCTTGTATCGATATCAGCTTTAATTGGGTTTGTTGTGTTTTTATGACATAAATACTTCACGTTCCATCTACAAGTTATGGATTTAAGTATTTAGTACTGAAATGAATTAAGTGCACCTGATGAATTTGTTTTTTTTGGAGATATATTAACCAAATAGTTTATGTATCATTAACTCAATTTTAAATGATGTTGTCTTTACTCATTTTCTTCGTGTGAATGAAATTTAATATATTAAGTACAGTACACTTTTAACATTTTATGTTTTTTAAACTCAAAGATCAACGTAAAAGCAACTAAAATTGTGTTCTTAGTATTAATTAATCATTTAATTGGTTTAATATTACTTCAGTCAGGGTTCATATTTTAGTGCAGTTCCCAACTGTCACGTGACATCAATTTGTGTGGTTTTTTTTTCATCTTGTGACCACTCCTTTCTTACATGTTACGCGGAAATGTCCCCGCCTACTTCGCAGAACTGACCACTCATCATCACACTGTGTAACATTCTTACTGACCACGCCCACATAAGCCCAAGGCCCAAGTCAAGAGGGCTACGGCGTCTGGTAAATTACTCAATTTGTATCGCTCAATTAGATACTGTACTGGAGATCTTAATGTAACCCTTGTGCTTTCTCTGCCCCGTTCCATTTAGCAAATCGACTAGCCACCCTCTCAGAACGAGATGTGACCGGAAAACAGAATCTTTTTTGCTCCCTAATCACATCTTGACCTTTGACGTTAAGACTTCGCATATTCACCATGCCTGCACTTTGAGCGTACCGCTGCCGAGCCGAGGCGCTTCCGATCTTGGGATTTATTCAGCGGGCAATTTGGCGCGCTGCTCCGCCGCGGAACTTTTGCATTGGATGCAAGAGAATGATTCCTTGTCGGTGTTTCTCGGCGTGTGAGAAAAAGTACGCCTGTGGCTTTGCTAACTGGCTTCTGGCAAAGGGCGGTCTGATACGTAGCGACCTCACTCAATGGTAATCCGCCTTGTAATACACTGACTCTCCATTTGTCAATTCCGTATGGTTCCCAGGCTATACAGTGCCTGGATGCTTTTAAGACCTTGTCTCTCCATTGTCTCTGCAGAGATCGATGCTGTCGGTGACTGATCAAGTTTTTAGCGTGTACTGTACGTTGACGTACAAGAGGCCAAGGTTTACGGATTGCCTGAACCAGTGCGTGTCAGTTCCTGCTAGGACTTTACTCGCGGGAAGGGTAACCTGCAACTTGGCATCTTCGTAACGGGTAAGGGTCATCCGTTTTTGTTCTCCATTTTCAAATTTTCTGATATTCATTTCATTTATGCTGTGTCTACATTTCAGCACATTTTAGAAAATTACTTTCCGTGGCGTTCGTCGTTGCAGTTGGCATCCCGTTGCACTTTATAAACAAAATGTGAAAATTTGAGTGGAGTGTTAAAGATGTTTTATTTGTTCCTTTTTGAACCTGTACATTTAAACGGATTCAGTAATGATTTGAGGTCACTCTGCGCGAAAGCCTAGAATTTTAATCAAACTGACCGATATAATCTCACCGGTCGTAGGTCACGATTGTTGAACATTTTCTGTAGGGTAGCGTAACTCATCTTTAATTGCCTTTGAATTAAAGCGATTAATACTGTATTACACACTGCTATTCATTATTGTTTTTATTGAAAACATCCGCATGAGTTTTGCTGAAATCCATGAAAATAATCTTAACTGGCTAGTCATCTAAAGCGAACAAATTTGTCACTGATATTTGAGGGTAATAAGTCGAGAAATTGAAAATTCACTCACATGGACAAAGTAAGAAGGCGCAATGACCTCCAATCGCTCCGGCCAATTAAAAGTACCCCCGAGCTTGAGCTTGAAGAAACATTCCCCCTTCCAAGCCCTTTTCGCGATCGAGACTTTTATTGTGAAGTATGTCCTACAATCCTTGGATGATACTCTTCAAATCACCGGCTGAAAGCGAGTCCTCGATAGATCATGATTACGCGGTTCAACCCGCGAGTCATTCCAGAGAGACCTGTTTGTGAGGAAAAGAACGGGGGCAAAAAGGTGCACAAGTACGGTAAATGTGTACGCAGAAAACGTACTTGATCGTTAGTGGAGGGAGAGAGGAACGGCGTAATACGGGTCTGAGCCTGAGGTGCGTCCGTGAGGGGTTGCCTGCCCGTGATCACCATACCTAATCGATGTCAGGGGCAGTTCCACGCACGGTAACCAAACAGGCCTCAATCGAGGTTATTAACCATCTACCGTTTACTTGAGCTCAGGTGTTCAGAGACGCGGGTCTGCATTTCCAGGTGTCATCGTTCTTTTCTCACATTGGCATCTTGTGTCGCATGCTGTTTAACGCCTGGTAATAGGGTCCGAATATTCACGATTCCGATCCGGGTCAGTGATTGGGGTTCGAAAAAATGTGATAACGACGAAACGATTGGAAAGTAATAGTCTGGAGAGGCTGTGGTTTGATATGTATGATCTACTTAAATCGTTAATATGTGTTCTTCATGCGTAATCTGAATACTTTGGTGTGCAAGTTAACATAGAGCCTAATCTGTTTCCCATCAGCACTATCATTTGGCAGGAGCGGCTCTCTCCTGGATCTCAACATGCAAATGTATATTTCTATACGGTCTTGAACTTGTGGATAACGTAGCTACATTTCTGGAATCAAAAGACATTTGGTTTCGAATTCTCCCCGTGTGTGGTTTCTTGTTTGGGTCCTTAGTTTCTGGTTGGTACCAACCATGACAAACAGGTTGACTTTAAATGACGCCGCCAAAGAACCGTGGGTAGAGATCCGTTGGTAGACCTACATTAGCGCTCCGATGGTAGAACACTGGGTCTGCAGTCCAGTGGTGTCAGGTTCGATTCCAGACGCGTTTGTTAAATTTATATCGTGTGATTTTGCATTAAGTTCATTTGTGTCTTATTAAAAGCAAAGCAATAGGTGCCGTATATACCATGAACTCATATTAAGATCGTTCCCCTCGAGTTACGTACAACAGGTCTTTGGACTTAATAACTCTGATCTTGCTCCCTGAATTAGAACACGATCTACGTGAGATTGGAACTAAAGCTGATTGATAAAAAAAACGTCTGGATCCAGTTGGAAAGCGATCTCCATTAACACAAATTGTGATACATTTGGTATGCCAAGAAAGATATTGCCCAAAGTTAAGCAATGGCTGAGTCTAACTCGTTAGAAGGCCACATTATGCACTCCAAGTGGCGTGTAACATAATGTCTCACATGAATCACTAGTGATTGGTGTAACAGAACGAGCTATCGTGTGTAAACCGCACGTCTGCCAAAGAAGGCAGAAAAAGGTTGGCTCTAATTAATCTAGGCCATCACAGTCACACGAAACGAGTCCACCAACATGCAAAGTCACATTCACTTAGGCCTAATCGTCGTCCTGGTGTTTCAATAACGGGCAACTCGCTCTCTGATCGCACGGCTCGAATTTGTATTTGTTGGCTGGTATCATTCTGGACGTAATGGTTACCAGCCCTGTCCATTAGCTCTTTTCCCTTGTCACTATCACTCCGTTGGATAATGAACAAAGTTAAGCCTGAAATGTACCGATGACTTGGGCTTTCATTTAGGAAAGGCTAAGCAGAAGTTATAATACATCAAATGTCAGTAACTATTTGTTAAAGTAACAAGTCACAAAGGGGTGCATATATACCTTTGTTCCCCAATAGCTATGTTCCCTAACCCCCTAACCCTAACCCTAAGGAGTTTGGGGGTTATTGGGTGGACCCCGTCACAAAGCAGTGGAAATCAACGCAGTGAAAATAATTGATTTTCTCTTGCAAATCTTTCACGTGCTAAGTAAAATTGTGAACTTTGCAGCCAAATGGACCACAAAAAACCAACAACAAATTCTGACAGAATCCGCTTGAGTACATAGTTCGTTGGCCCTCCATGGCAGTTGTTTCTATTAAGAAATGAGCCATAAGTCTCTTGTGACTTTGAGAAAACGTTTGCAACTGATGCTAAAATTAATATTCTGGACCTATATTTTTTTCTCAAGCAACGAGATGAGCAAGAAAACCGATTTCAATTTTCATCATTTCTCAAATTTGACTGCAATTTTCCCCGAAATATTTTTTTTCATCTGCAATCCCGGTACGAAATTCTGGTCCCTTGTGCAATCCTCTCTTGAGCAATAATCTAACCGAGAGTGTGGCAACGCACAAACTCCTCGTCCGCGTAAATCCCTCAGCGACTCTATAATGCGATCTGTCCGGAATGATTTCCGTACGGAAACAATCACGTAAAGCCTTAGCCACCGTGCCTATATCCTTCCGCAAATACCCTCCCGTACGGTACCTTTGCGCATCAATCCCGCCCCGTACGACACACTCCGTTGCCCGGTCATTGACTTCGCAAGCAGTGTTCAATTTTGATCATTGATGCTGGGTGCAAGATAGGGTAGAAGTGAACATCTCATATGTAGATATAAAAAAGGGATACCGCGATGCAGTGATATACTAAAAAAAAGCAGCTGACGGAGGAGAAGTAACCAATTAAATTAGTAGTGTTTTCAGAATACTTTTTGGAAGACCTTATTAATAAGGGCACATATTTTTCTTCGGTACTCCAACTTCTACCTTTTTATCGCCACTTTTTAAAATAGCAAATTCCCTTATTTGTAGCAATTTATGGTAATTCACAGTGAGTAAAGTGGTGTCATTATAGGCGAGAGCATTGATTCAAAGCTGTTAGAATATTCCTTCGGTGAGTTTGTTTGAAGATACTACCCGTCATGATGGCGCTTTCTATTTAAAAAAACACCACATTTCGTTACTGACAATTGACGAGAAAGTTGGCTTTGTTCTTCTTTATATATTGTATTTATAATAGCCATAAATTTATCTTCCTTTTATCAAAGCCTCTTTTCCAACGGACGGATACAATAGACAAAAATGTCAACCATAAACTTGTTAACATTTCGAGAAAGGTTTTTGGACGTCACAACTGATATTTACTCGCAATTGTGCCGACCAGACCTTTCGGGAAAAAAATGGGAATAAATCATTCACTTTTGTTTTCACTTGTACGTTTGCCCCGACTAAAATGCCATAAATCCAATATTTGATTCCCAACTCCCGGACACTTAGCTTTTTACTCCCATGTCTTGTCCCCAGAGGAAAAGAGAAACAACATCAGGCTGGCAAATAAGTCCATGGAATGGTGGAGCAGGAGTCTATAAGACGCTTTTAATCGATGTCCGGCTATAGTCAAACAACTGCAACCGTCTCGTTTCCTTCCCTTTTGCCCTTTGCTTCTTCTGATTTTTCCCCCCTGAAATTTGCGAGGGAGGCACGAACTGTCTGAGGAAAAACAGTGCGATGCTTAATGTGTTTATCGTTGGAAGTTTTTAGATGCTCGCATTTCATGCCTTAAAACAAAACTAGAAAGAAGAAAAAAAAATAATCGAAACTTTTTAAGGAACACTCACTGGTGTAACTTGATGATGAAGTAGAAAAAGGGGAATCGTTCCTTTTATGTAACAGAAAACTTGGAACTTTATTGGTTCGCTAATGCGAGTGAAATAGTCTTTAAGGTTACGTGTGAGCAACCATGGCCTAAATTCCTGCAAAGAGATGTCGAAAACAGCAACGACCGGCAAATGTTTGTCTTTGCCACGAGGGACTCCAGAATGCAAATACTAAAGCGATTTTTGTGTATACATGCTTGACCTAAATACAACATAAATCCTTCTCGGATCTGAATTCCTTCGATGAAATATTCAAATAAACCCACGACATTCCTGCGACCTTCAACACCATTGTTAACGGTGAGAGACTGCGATCGAGTTTTGTTGCTAGTTTCTGTTTGGCGAATGTAACAGTCACATTTAGCTTTTCTTGGGTTTCGTTATTTTACACGCCCTATTTCAAAATCAGTCTCGGCGTGAACTGATATTCTCAGAACATGAAATAGAATGTTCGCAATGGGAGAACATGTTTCCTGTGTGCGCGTGCGGTGTATTAAACAAGATCGTGTTTTGCATCAGTTGTCAACCAGAAGATTGCACCTGAATGTTACTGTTGTCTGCAATAGTCGTAACTGTTTTCAGCCTAATTAATTGTATTCCTCTTAGTCATAACATTCAAATTCTGTTTTTCCCCCACCAATCAACTGAATTTCATTGCCTGCATATTAATCTGTTAAGGAAATTGCATGGATAAGTGCAAATTTGAGCCGTGCTAGTGGGGTAGCTAGGATTTTTTGCGGGGGGGG